GTAGTAGTAGTGGAAGGTTTGATTTTAATTTGGAATGAATTCAAGCTGGCTTGAGTTTCTCAGAGGCCTAACAGATAAACCTTGCACTTTTACTTCCAACACACCTTCATACACATTTCCATAAACGCAATTTACAAAAGTGTATGTTGTGCAGGCTTACAATGTAACAAATGGCTTGATATATCCTCTATACAAACAATTTTCATAATCTTAAATTCAGTCTTTGTACATTTGAATGAAAAACAAAATTTTAAAAATATATTTTTTACAATGTTTGTTTGTCTTCTCAGAGGTTTTATCTTCGATGTAGTCAGCACCACGAAGGGGACATTGATGGTACAGCTGTTGGGTTAAAACATGTCCAGCCAAACTCACGGAGAGTCGAATGCATAATATGTAGTGATGTGATGTATGTTGATTTAGTGATGGGATGTATGTTGATGTGGTGATGTGTGCTGATTTTGTGTACATCTTTAGTTATAATTATCTTGAGTTGGTTTATTTTTCAAAAAGATACATTTATTAACTTGCAGTAATACTTCATAGCCCAAGTTTTGGTCTTCTTGCAAGGTCCTCTTACATCGCTTCTCTATTCCAGGTCTCATGTTTTAATATTTCCTTGCTCTCCTGGGCACGTGATGTGTTTGGACTGTTTCCGACAGTACGGGAGCACCTGTCTGAGTGACAGACGATTTATTGAACATCCTTTTCATGGCTACACTTTACCCTGTCCAGGTTTGTTTACACATATAATCAAATCCTACTTTTATTTCTGCTTTTGAAAAACGGAAGTCAACTTCAATCATTAAAAAGTTAAATTTACTATATGCAATAAAACAAAACTTTAAAATATTAATTCTAAAGCTTTGCATTAATTTTCACACAAGTAAAAATAATAAATCTTTATTATTTTTTTATTTAAAAATTGTCCCTGACTGAACTCTCATTGCATATGACTTAATTAAAGAAAACCATGTGTATTAAGGAGGCGCGGTGGCTGAGCGGTAAAGCGCTTGGATACCAAACCGGAGTACGGGGTTCGAATCCTGGTGAAGACTGGGATTTTTAACTTCAGGATCTTTGGGCGCCTCTGAGTCCACCCAGCTCTAATGGGTACCTAACGTTAGTTGGGGAAAAGTAAAGGCGGTTGGTCGTTGTGCTGGCCACATGACACCCTCATAAGCCATAGGCCACAGAAACTGATGACCTTTACATCATCTGCCCTATAGACCACAAGGTCTGAAAGGGGAACTTTACTTACTTTTTACTATGTGTATTAAATATGAATGTCAAATTGCATTCTCTATTTCAGTTGGTTGTTCAGATTCTCACATTGAAGAAAGTCATCATTTCCTTTTACTTGGACAGGAGAAGGTACATGTATGATTTGATGCAAATCTTTTTTTTTTTTTTTGTTGAAGTTATGAAAAGTGATGTGCATACCGTTCATTCCAGTTAATTGGAACACCTCTGGACATGATCATTTTGGTCCTAATAACCAGCTGGTCTAATTACACATTTTCTGTTACAAGAATGTTTTGGTGCTTTTAAATTCTTTGAAGTAAATAGTAGGTCTGATTAAGCAGTGGCCCAAATTGACCAGATTTTTGTCGTATTTGGGGGTTTAGCTCAAAAGCTAATTTTACCAAACCTAAAAACCCATATTTCAGAAACAGTAAATCCACCTTCTGCTTTGGTCTTCTTGGTTAGAGTTGTCACCTGCTGCCTCTTTCCTATCAAATGTCATTTACCAAAGTCAGACGCCTGCAACATGCAAACCAGAAGACTTGAGCTCTGTAACTATACCCACACTTCAAGATGAATTAGCTCCCTTTGATACTTTTAAGATTTGAACCATTTAGTAAAAATCTACAATGTGTAAAAAAAAAAATTGTTTAATAATATATTGTTTCGAAATCAAATTGAACAGTGAAAATTTGTTTTTCTTAATTTGATCTAGTATGAGCGTTATAAAAATTTTGGAGCTGAAGAATATGTCCTTCAAAATGGAGGGATGTTGTGTCCAGGTCCAGGATGTGGTACTGGATTATTTCCTGCTACAGATGACCGATTAATTCGATGCAGAGAATGTCAGGTAGTAACATTTTCTTAAAAATTTAGTTACTACACTTGACAATTAAGCAAAACATTAAAATTTAAAGGATGACTAACAGTTCATCAGACAATTCATTCATGTCTCAAAAAGCTCATTAAACAAATGTTTCATAAGACAATTCACTCACGTCTCAAATAGCTCATTGGACAAATGTTTCATAAGACAATTCACTCACCAACAATGGTTCACTGACAAAAAATGTTACAAGCATTATTGGCTTTAATAAATGATCTAAAAAATAAATTATTTTGACCTCTGATGAACCAATTGTCAATAGATCAAGTCTTGGGGAACCAATTGTCAATAGATCAAGTCTTGGGGAACCAATTGTCAATAGATCAAGTCTTGGGGAACCAATTGTCAATAGATCAAGTCTTGGGGAACCAATTGTCAATAGATCAAGTCTTGGGGAACCAATTGTAAATAGATCAAGTCTTGGGGAACCAAGTGTCAATAGACCAAGTCTTGGGGAACAAATTGTCAATAAACAATGTCCTTGTCCCTTATGCTAGGACAAAATTTGTACAAATACTTCTTTCCTTTCAGAGCATGGAATGGTTTGACTGACTCAGCTATATTTTCTGAAGTGCCAAGCAAATGTTTACATCTGATTTTAAGTCTAAATTTTCTTCTATCAAAAATGTCTATTCTTTTGAATGAATTTTGTGTTGGTGCTAATATAGAATCAGGACAAAGTTATTATGATCATAAAATCATTGCCGGATGACAAGAACTGCAACCTTCTAACATAGTCTGGAAAAGTCTATGACAAAAATGAAATTTGTAAATGCTTTGACAAATGTACAGAATGTCTAATATAACTTAATGCTGTGTTTGTTTTTAAGATTTCTGCTTTTTGTGTATATTAGGTGCTGGAACGATTTTAGTCTTTCCTGAGTATATTTCTTTATATTTAGGAAAATACACATTTCCAGGTCTGAAAATACACATTTTCATTTTGGCATGTAGCCATCTCTCTAAATAGGTTGTTGAACCAGTTGTGCGTAAACCATTTGCCATAGAACCAAGTTGTGATTGGACAGTTTTGCGGAGAACACTTTGTATAATTCTGATATTTACATTTTGCCTGTGCTGTGTTTCAGTTTGAGTCTTGCAGAGAGTGTAAAAGAGAGTACCATGTTGGAGATTGTGAAGAATATCTAGAGTCTCTTTGTTTAGATCTTTCTGTAAGTCTACTTACTCATAGATTTTTTGGTATGCTTTAGAAGATATAATATTGGGAAGAATATCTAGAGTCTCTTCGTTTAGATCTTTCTGTAAGTCTACTTACTCATAGATTTTCTTGTATGCTTTATAAAATGTAATTTGCTTTAGTTTCAATAATTTTGAAATAACATTATATCACTAAATTTACTATTTTTATGCATTCCAATTAATTTTTTCTCTTATAAGAAATATCACCTTTTTTTTTTTACTTTCTAACTTTATTAGAGACCAATTTTTATTTACTTTTAACATCAGAGATAAAAATATGCTGTTAATATAAAAAAGGGAAATGAGTATAAAATTATATACTCTAAATTCAAACTACTAAAGAGACTAAGACTAAGACTGCTTTATTTTTATATTGTATTTCATAACAGAACTTGGAAATAAACAATGAGAGAGCCCTGAGAGCATCATGGGAAAGAGAAAGTACAAATCTGATTGAGGAAACAACCAAAACTTGTCCAGGCTGTCAGACTAAAACAGAACGAAGTGGTAAATAAAAAAAACAACTGTTTAAAATGTTACTTCAGATAGAATATTGTGTAGTGATGCACTCCAGTAGGGAAGTAAACTTACCAAGACACCCAGCAGAAACGTAAACTTATCCTACATTATCCAGTAGGAAAGTAAACTTAACTTGACACCCAGTAGGAAAGTAAACTTACCCAGACACCCATTAGAAACGTAAACTTACCCAGTAGGAAAGTAAACTTACCCTGATACCAAGTAGGAAAGTAAACTTACCAAGACACCCAGCAGAAACATAAACTTACCCAGTTGGAAAGTAAACTTACCCTGACACCCAGGAGGAAAGTAAACTTACACTGACACCCAGGAGGAATGTAAACTTACCCTGATACCAAGTAGGAAAGTAAACTTACCCAGACACCCTGTGGCCCATCAGGTGGATGTTAAGTTCACCACTTTATGGCTAAGGCCTAAGGAGTCTTTTATGTGACTAGCTCGGCCATCTTTCCTTGACTAGTTTCCACAACTTAGACCTAGAGTTTTGTGTAGTCATGGGCCTCTAGTTATTACAATACCAGTTACAATGTTCCTTCCTCCAACACCCTCACTCGAAGTTTTTGGATGGAGGCCAACAATAATTGGTTTCTAATACCTAAATATACATCATTATATATAATTCAACCATACTGTTTAACATGTTTTGTTACTTCAAGGGATGCAACCAAATGGATGAAATCACAAGCACACCCACTACAAAAATCTCATTCAAAATAATAATGACAATTTATTGCTCTGGTTAGAAGAGAACTCGAAGTATTTATTTGTTAATAAGTGCTAGTATGCCTAAAATGTGGAATGTGGTTCTAAAAAAAAAGGTGTTTGTAGTTATTTAAAGCATGTATGCTTATAATAATGTTTTATATAATAGACCTATACAATATGTATTCATCTTGTGTCCCTAGGTGGTTGCATGCATATGGTATGTACAAGATGTCGGACTGAATGGTGTTGGGTTTGTGTCAAGCCATGGAATAGAGATTGTCAGGCTGATCATTGGTTTGGCTAACCGTACTGTTATTAATAGATTTAGTAATGAAACAGTTGGCTAACAGTGCTGTTATGAATAGTTTTAGTAATGAAACAGTTGGCTAACAGTACTGTTATGAATAGTTTTAGTAACGAAACAGTTGGCTAACAGTACTGTTATGAATAGTTTTAGTAACGAAACAGTTGGCTAACAGTACTGTTATGAATAGTTTTAGTAATGAAACAGTTGGCTAACAGTACTGTTATGAAACAGTTGTCAAAAAGATTCATTTAATTTCTTTAAGTTGGGGGAAAAAAATGAAACAGAATATCGTCGCTAGAGGATTAATGGGACAGCCTTTATTAAAACCAGTAAATGGAAAGATTGTCTTAGGGATTCCGAATATTTATGTGGTTAATTTGGTATCTGCTTCACTGCTAGACATTTCAGAATCCATGTTGTTATAGTTGTTTGTATTTTTGTCCTCAAGTGCTACTATTTTATGCAACTATCACTGTGACTTAATTTCAGCACTTACCTTCAGTCATGTAGGTTTCGAATAAAAAACAAAAAAGGTAGTTAGTCAAAGATGTAGACAATGTTTCCCATTGTTTGTATTGATAAGATACTCTTAGAGTAGTACAAGTTGCTTGAGAGAAGGAGACTGTTAGCCATTTGTATTTTATGATATTTTATTATATACTCATACCCCTGAATTTTACTTATAGAATGGCTAGTTGCAATGTAGTTAGCCATGGTAATGTGAGAGTAAAATGCTTTTGGTAAATTTTATTGCTGACTTGTATCAATGTATTGGTTTTTAATATTTTTTTAAAAATACATTTGAGGTGTGAAAAGTTCTGTTAAAGTATCACACTGTCAATGTTCATAAAATATTGAAACAAAGTTATGAGAGAAGTCTGAAAATGTTGACATTTGAATGTTTCTTCTCTGTGTTCAACAGACTTGATAGTGCAGAGTAGACACTAATGTGATGACCTAATGTTAAGTATGTGTTAACATATTTGTACATATGAAACCAACACAAATTGTGTCTTTCATTCAAATCATTGGGTTTAAAAAATAAAAATGCTATTGATTTTTCATATAACTGACAATCTAATTTGTTATTTTTAAAAATAAATTTTGTAATACTTGCATTATTTTTTTTTCTAAAAATTTGATTGACATTCTTTTTCATTTCTTAGTTATACTATTATAAAAACAACAAATGGACAGATAAATTCATCATAACATTTATTAAAATATTCCAATGTAAAAAATTGCATCATTGAAATAAAATAGCAGTAAGTATCAAACACCTATGGACCTCATTCACCAATCGTAAACAAACAACATTTTGCACGTGGTTCTCTCTATATTCTATACAAATTATGCAATCCATAAAGGCAGTCACGTGATACGTAATTTTCATTGTTTTATCAATATTATCACGTTGCTAAATGTTTGTTTACCATTGGTGAATGAGGTCCATTGGCTGACCTGCATTTAAAATCAAACAAGCAATAAAGTAATACTTGTAAATCAGACAAAAATGATTTGGCATATTTTGAAGAAAATTTCTAGCAAAAGAAAATCTATGAAAGCCAAACATAAAAAATACATATCTGCATTTTACAATACGTAAAATATAAAAATGGATATTTACAAATACACCTAAATAAATGCAACACCATTTCTGTTGTTAAAGTAACAATGAAATATTTGATTGAATCTTTTTCTAGATTATAAAATTTTAATTTCAATAACTGAAGAAATATTCTCTCATAAATAATTTACATGCTTTACTGTAGATTAATAATAAGTCGGATGTTTAAGGTTTAAAATGTTGACCAAAATCATGGCTGGCCTAATATATTGTTATATATATTAAGGTTTCTATTGTCTTTCAAAACACACACATATATATGAACTGACTTGTAAAAGACACATAAAGAACATTTGGCTGAAATTACCTCCGCAGAAGTAAGAAAAATTGACTGCAATATTTAATCTAATCTAAATTTTTTGCCAGACCATGAAAAAAGTAATAAAAAAAAAAGTAAAGTTCCCCTTTCAGACCTTGTGGTCTACAGGCCATGAAAATAGAGGACTGTAAAAACTTAAAACTAATTTTAATATACAGCTGAATTCTGACCACATAATTTAATTCAGCATATTCTGTAGAAATGTCTGTTTCAAAGGTGACACTTGATTTGCATATACATTTTTTTAAACTAGTGCAGTTCTCATGTAGTATTGCATAGCATAGTGTCTGCATATAGAGTCAATTATGTGACAATTCACACAGAAGCACATTAGATAGTTTGTTGTAACCCCTCTCCCCTATTAGAAACATAGCACTGTGTTATAATGTTTGAATACCAACAACTTCTCTATTTACAGAAAACAGTTTCGATAGCTTATTACAATCACTGCCAATATTATTTGTTATCTGTGTGAGATGTATAAAAAATGTTTAGAAAATCACATTCTTGGAAAACAACTTCAATACATTTCACAAGTCCTTTACTTTTGTTCTTATTGACATGTGCTTTTATATTTCCAAAACATTGAGGACAAGCAAACTGAGCAACAAAGTTTATTAGCAGATCCAAATCCAATATTGTCCGTTCAGAGTTATCACATTTAGGAATGTCAAAAACTGTTTCACTTAGTTTCAGCCTTTTACTGAAACTGATATCTTCAGATGCATTATTCATAACAGTGGCAGTGGAACCAGTTGCCTCAGAAGTAGATGTTATAGAACTAGAAGTACTAGTAGACATGGCCATGTTGAGCTCGATCCATCACTTGACTGTCTTGATGTTATTGATAAAACTTTCATATTAGCTCTTAAGTGCTTCTACAGCATTCTTTGCATTAGAAATGCGGGTATAGCGAAATGCGATAAGACTGCTTCCTACGAGGCATTTTAATTTGTGTAAACAATTAGATTTAGGAAAGAATGACAATGCGGCTTCAACGCAATCGCAATGGTTTACTCACATAAAATGTTTACGTTCTCAGCCAGCGGAAGTGAGCATATAGTAAGAATATAAAAGTAGCCAGCCAATCAAAAGTTTTAAGACAATTCCGACTACGGCTAGAGGCCAATGAAAAAGTCAGTTATCTAGGGAGATAGTAGACTAATAAATTTCCCAAGCTATAAATATCTATTAAAATCAGCATTCTTATTGGCTAAAAAGATAGATTCATCTTGTAGGGATAAAAAATGGCTTTATATATCACACACGAAGCTTTTAGTCCTATTTCTTATTGTTGTTTAGTGCCAAACAAAGCATTTTTATAAAAATTGTAAAAAGAGACAGCTGTTACTGTATATACCTTACAAAAAAAATAAATTAAAATATAAGCAATAATTTGCCAATCATGAAAATTATATTTTTATGTCCAGAAATGGTTGGACTATTTAAATTAGTTAAAACTGAAAATCGAAATTTTTGACCTATTTACCCAAATTTGGTGTCCCACATAGCCTTAAAGAACTAAAAACCAGTGTTCCAAACTTTGTAAAATAATAATAATAAGGCAGTGTCTTCGATTACAGATGAGTGCAGTATTTCAGATGACCACGCTAACCTTGTTGCAACCTGCGTGTTATGCCACATCTCATGTAGAAAAAGCTGTTGGTTTTTTTTAGTGAGCTAAAAGGAGGACAGCACCCTCGTTAACCGTAGGCCACAGAAACATGACCTTTACATCATCTGCACTATAGACGACAAGGTCTGAAAGGGGAGCTTCACTTTTAAAGGAGGACAGCGTAAAAAAAGGTGCCTGGAAGCAGCTGTCAGCAGATGTAGAGCTGTCACGAAGGCTGTAAGACAATAGAGGCCTACAATACAGGCCTGAAGAAAAGCCTTTGTTGAAGACGAGTGCAGACAAGGAAAAATGCAATTTTGGATACTAAATCAAGAAACAGCTTAGCAATTATTGTACATCACATATACAAAAAGCTAGCACAATTAAAATTTAAATTACATGACTAGTGATTTAATAACACTTTTGTCTCTATTAATTTCATTTTCAAATAAATTATACGAGATGTTTGTCACCTTCAAAAAGTTACCATAAACTTTTTCATCTGGGACTATAAATATTACATTTTCAAAGAACAATAATTGATAAAGAATAACAATTTTTTTTAGGTATTTTGAAAAAACAAATAACAAACCTCAATGCTTGTTTCAGATATTTTCAATAATGAAATCATTCAAATGAAAAATTTTCTTTTTGGAAAATCTTTACTTTGCAAGAGATTAAAAACAATATGTTCATATCCTCATTGTGCTGTTACATATAACCATATATATCCTGGTTACATGAGTCGTTAACAAAGCATTGAACATTATTAAAGTCCATATACATACATAAGACCATATATATAAGGCTATAGCTACATCAAAAATCCTTTCAGAAATTAATTAAAAAGTGATACGACACGTATGTGATAGAAACAATAAAAAAGTGAATGCCGAAATTAGGAATGATCTAATGCAAGTTTTCCTACACGTTTCTGTACCCAAACTGGCACATTGTTTGGACTGCTCCATGCCAACTTTGGATTGAATAAGATGGTGTATACACAAGCTTGGGCGATGAAGATGGCCACAAGTATACTGAATATACCCATCTGCTCTCCCAGTACATACATCATAGCAGCATGCACAAAGACATCGAACAGTGTTCCTAGGGTGGAGTCAAGCTGCAAGGAGGGCTTCTGGTTACTTTTAAACCATTCCAGAGAGCTCCAATCAATGATCTAAAAGTAATGACAAAATACAAGAAAACTTAGAAGTTAAGAAAAAATACCTTCTAATTTGGCTTTCATTGTCATAAGACATTACCAGTAGAGTACTGACCATAGACTATAGACCACTAATTTGACTTTTATGTAGGCCTGGCATTCTTTAAAGAGTCAGCATTTAAACATATCTTTTAATAAATTTAAGCGAGGCTCTAGAGCCACCATAGGCCTAATGTTTACTAAGCTGCGAATAAGACATCTTATTTGGTCTTCAGTTGCAAGCTTGATCAGATTGGTTTTACAGCAAACAGGTTTTCAAAAATTTATCGAACCTGAAAGATCTCTTGGTACCAATTTCTTTACTTGCTTAGTTGTGGACAGGGAAGTTGATAGAGCAGAAACATTCGTAGGTGTAAGTAAATATTAGATCAGAGTCGGCCTTAAATCTAGGAAAACTAGGCAGATTTAGGAAGGTTTTTAATTTTTTGCATATTTTTCTGTCTCAAATTTTTGTTTTTTCTATTTCATTTGGGGCCACTCTATTCACTTCACCTAGGGCCTACTATTACATAAAGGCTAAGGCCGGCCCTAATTAGATCTATATCACATGCAATATGCTCTATAACATTGCTCTTTAATTAATATTGACATACTAGAACAACTACATTTGGGAACACTCACCCTTTTAGCCATATAGGATTTATCCCATGTGATAAAATAGAACATGTGTTGAAGTATCTGCAACACCGCCAGCCACTTGAGTTTGCCCGTGAACAGAAAGCTAGTGAAGAACACAGTCAGAGCGTCCACTAGGAAATAGAGACGGACCCTGACCAAGTCTTTGCGAGGGAGACTCCGAATGCCACACAGGATAAACACGTGAGCCACAAGGTGGTACAGCTCCACAGAAAACAAAACAACGGAGACCACGTCCACAAGGCTGAGAACCATTGCCATCCTGGATAAAATAAAGAAAAAAACATTATTTCGATTAAAAAATGTTGGTCAAATGTTTTAGGCTTACTGTTAAGTGTGTTCCTTCGGAGTTGAAGATAATCAGTAGCGCCTTAGGTGGTGGCAAGTGAGGCAACCGCCCCTGGCCACGCGAACGTAGATTCCCTATCACCAGTTAAAAAAAACAAAACAGACCAGTTCTCAAAAACTAGAACCTGTTATTCCAAATTTTGGAAGCCTTTTCGAAAAATCCATGTGATATCAATTACCATGTTAGCTCTTAACATGACTTTTTTGGTTTCGAAATTCCATTCAGTTTCGGTAAAGACGTCACTTTATGACCTGTCGATTGTTAACAGTTCACATTGGCTTAAAAAAAAACACCAGTTTGCACAGCGAAAAGCCAGAAATGTTTCGCGACAAAATCCGTCTGTGACCGTCTAAGAAACTATTTGGTGTTAGTTTTATTGCAACTGTTCCTGTTTTCCTCTGTAATTAGGCTAATAGTTACTGCCAGCAGG